AATTAATAAATAAGAAAATAAACTATAGGGGCCAGCATGAGATGTGGTGGTTAGGCTCTGGACTCCCACAGAGTTGACCCTGGTTTGAGTTCTGGACCTGACAACTTGCTTTCTCACTTTCCCTCAATCTTTCTCTGATGAGTGCATGTACCCTAATGCAAATTAAATAATAATAATAGTTAATAAAATAAATATTTTAAAAAAACTAATTAGGTATAATGTCATCCAATAGTGCTTTGGAGGGAATGACAGAGCTGGCTTTGTGGTACATACAGTACTAATACTCTGCTCAAGAGTCACTGAATTCTGGAGTTAGCAAGTGGCATGGTGGTTGAGGCACTGGACTCCCACTTGGCTGACTCTAAGTTTGAGTCCCAAACTTGGTGGTTTGCATTCTCTCTCTCCCCCTGTCAAATTGAATTATAATAATAATAAATTAATTAAATTAATAATTAAAAAAGAAGTCACTAGTGACAGTGTTTCAAATCTCCAACCCAGTCATACTGAAATACACTTATGTGTGGGTACCAGCCAAAGAGGTATAGGACGAAGAAGGGGAGTGTGGTGTGAGGAGTGTGTTATCACATGAAGCATGTGTTATCGCTCTATCTCAAATTGCATACACATGTGCACGATTATAAATTAGGGGAAAGAAAAGGACTGAATGGGCCCGCTGATGGTGTGGTATTGAAGGCACCATATCCCACAAAGCTGACTGCATTCTTCTGAGAAGTACACTGGTTGCATGTGTGCCCAAAATCCCAATAGGAGGGAGACATGGAAGAGAAGGGCCTAGGGTGTAACCATCCCCCACGGGAAGTGCATCCTCACTTTCTATCGCTCCCTGGGAAGTGCACAGGCACTCTAGCAAATTAAAAAAAAATAAAATGAAATAAAAAAAAAAGAATAAATGACATACCCGTACAAAGTAATCAAAAATCCCACTGCTTACGGTTACAAAGAATAACATTTGATCAGAATTTGTGGGAAAAAAATTGGTACATCTCCTACGGCCCTCTACTTGGCAGCAAATATTTGGACCATGACCCAGAAATCCACATCTAGGAATTCATCAGATATAACTGCACAAATGGGAAACACTGGCTACATGAAGTTATCACTGCACTTCTTATAACACCACCATTTATAAAGGAGCGAAACTATTTAAATGTACTCTGGTAGGGCCGGCAGGTGGCACAGTGCTTCAGGGTGCTGGGCTCCCACATGGCCAACTGCGGTTGGAGACCCGGACCTGGCGGCTTGCTTTCTCACTTTCTCTCTCTCTCACTCTGATCCTCTCTGGTCAAATTAAAATAAATAAACAGGGGCCAGCAGGTGGCAATGGTGGCTAAGGGCACTGGATTCCCACAGAGCTGACTGTGGTTCGAGTCCTGGACCTAGAAGCTTGCTTTCTCACTTTCTCTTTCTCTCTCCCTCTCCCTCTCTGATCAAATTAAAACAAAACAAACAAACAAAGTTAAATAAAAAACTCTTTAAAAATAAATAAGTAAACAAAGTTAAGTAAAAGTTAACTCTTTAAAAAAATGTACACTGGTAAGACAAGTTAAGGTTGTTACATTACTTATTTTGAAACAATGTATTGAGTATTCAAATAATGCTTTACAAAGTGAGCAACACAAGTCAAAACTCAACTCTGTGTAGGCTTGAGGGTGGACATAGGAGTGGTAGCAATGAAAATTTGGGGGTCAAGTTTAGGCTCTGCTTACTTTTGCTGAATACTATAGTCAAAAGGAAATGGAAAGATCACAAGCCAACTCCAAGGTAAACCACAAAACAACAAAAAACCTCAACAACGTAACTGAAAGTTAGAAATACTTACTGGGATCTTGTCATCTTCTCGTCGTCTTCGACCTCTGAAAAGAGTTCTCCTTTTAACAACAACAACAAAAAGGGGTAGGACAACTCTTAAGTTTCTTCAAATATAAACATTCTATCAAAGGTGGACAACTTATACTCTTAAGTACCCACATTTCCTAAATCTGGGGCTACTCTTCCCCATGATTTCTAAAAGATAACAATATTCTTTTGGGGCTGGCAGGTAACACAGTGGTTAAGGTGCTAGATTCCCACATGGTGAATGCGGTTTGAGTCCCAGATCCAGCGACGTGACGTGAACTCAGGCCAGGCATGCATGCATGTGTTCCCAAAATCACAAGAGGATGAAGAGTCTGCAGGGTGATCATCCCTCCTGGAGGGGTGATTTCTCACTTTCTCTTTTTCTATCTGTGCCTGTCTGTCTATCTGTCTCTGTCTAGCAAGCAGATGTGCCCTAAGGCACAAACCTCTTAAAAAATAAAAGAGGAGGAGGTGGGGAGAAGCAGGTGGTATGGTAGTTAGGGTGCTGGACTCCCACATAGCTGACCATGGTTCAAGTCTCAGACCTGGCCACTTAAAAACCACACATGTGTGTGTGCCCAAAATCACAAGAGGAGAATAGAGAAGAGATTGTACTAGGCTGACTATCCCTCCTCCTGAGAGGAGATATCTCCCTTTCCCTCTCAGTGTCTCTCTGCAACAACAAAAAAGAACAGGTCTGTTTTCACAGTAGCACTCACTCCACATTAAGCTTCCATTTAGGCAGGGTAATGCATTCCTACACTTTAGTAGAAGTTGACAGAAATTAAAACTACAAGGCAGATTGATATTTTATTTTCCTAAGATGTTCTTTCCTTAGTGAACTATAAAAAAAACTTCAGAATAACTTTTTAAACTTCTAGTTCAGAGATATACTGTACGCTATTTTTAAAAATAATTAAAGAACTATTAACTCATATGACTAATCTATTCAGTATAACTACACACTGATAATTAAGTTCAAATGGTCAAATCACCAGATCACGGTCTTCAAATACTCAGGCTGATGGGGGCCAGCATGGTGGTTAAAGCACTGTAATCCCACATGGCCAATCGTGGTTTGAGTCCCAGACCACCTGGTGGCTTGCTTTCTCTCTCTCTCTCACCCTGTCCCTCTTCGGTCAAATAAAAAAAAAATAAAATAAACAGGGTTAAATAAAATTTTGAAAACTTACATATTTAGAAAACCCAGGATGATCAAATAATTTTTTTTAAAGAATTACATATTTAGGGACCACCAGTTGGCATAATGGCTATGTCGCTGGACTCCCATGTGGTCGACCATGCTTCAAGTCCCGGGCCCGGTGGCTTGAACTCAAGCCAGGTGCATGTGTGTGCATGCCCAAGATCCTGAGAGGAGAATAGAGAAGGGATTGCGGAGTGGCCAACCCCCCACCCCCCGGGGTTAGTTATTTCTGTCTGTCTCTGTCTTTCTGGCAAGCACATGCACCCTATAACAGCAAAAACCTCTCAAAAAAAAAAAGAATTATGTGTTTAATTTTATTTATTCATTTATTTATTTTAATTTGACGAGAGGAGAGTGAAAAAGAGAGGGGAAGTGAGAAAGCAAGCCAGCAGGTCTGGGACTTGAACTGTGGTCAGCCATGTGGGAGTGTCCAGAGCCTTAAATACCTCCCCAACTGCTGGTCCTGATGATCATAGAATTTTAACATAACCACACTTCCTTACCTTCCTCTACTATAGTCCCCATTCTGTTCCACCTGTAAAGTAGGAGTCTCCTTTGGAAGATAAGTTTGTTCCTGATGGCCCATTAATGTAGGGTTATGCCGTTCTGTTGGAAAATTCCTGGAACTAGATCTATTCAATGGTCCATCCCCTAATGACACACAGCCCTCTGTTGAATGTTCTGAACCATTGGATGACCTAAAATGAGGCTTCACCCTATAAGAAATATAAGATTATATACATGAAAGAATAAATCAAGACAGAAAACTTTCTTCAGGTTAAAAAGTACCTTTGTGCTCTTCTATGATTTTCTAATAGTTAAACAAAAAGTTGTGACATTATAATAATCTAACCTTTTAAATGTGCCAGATGTATTATAGGCTAAGGATCCCTTTTCCAAGATGTCCAAAACCAGAAGTGTTTCAGATTATTTTTGCCTAGGTTTTGGAATATTTACATATACATATTTAATGAGTATCTTGGGGGAAAGTCCCAAGTCTAAACATGAAATTCATTTGTTTTGTACGTATCTTATACTAGACCTGACAGTAATTATATGTATTCTTTGTAGTAGCTGTATTTTTTTTAATTTTTTTATTGTTATTCATTATTTTGACCAGAGTGGGGGTGGCAGTGAGAAAGTAAGCCACCAGGTTCAGGACTTGAACTGTGGTTGATCATGTGGGAGTCCAATGCCTCAACCACCACGCCACTGCCAGCCCTGTAGCTGCAGTCTTACCATGTCTGAAGTAGTCAAGTTTCAGTTTATCAATGAGTCACTACCATATACTGTCAATGGGGACCAACTCCCCCTAAAACAAGAGTGAAAATTGTTTCTTGGGTCAGAGGAACCAATAACAAAAAAATATTAATTTTATAGATAAAGCATAGATATAAATGTTTTATGTAAGTAGATGCACTACTACCATCTTTGGTATTAAATTTTTAGATCATGAAAATCAGGAAACAAAACATGTAAAAAGACATGTATGGCAGCAATAATGAAAAGGGTAAGAAACACTGGAATAGGTTTTTTTTTTGAAAGGTTTTTGCTATCAGGCGTGTGCACTCGCCAGAGAGACAGAGAGACAGAAAGCAAGAAATCATCCCCCAGAGGGGATGGCCACACCTCAATCCATTCTCACCAAATGAAATTAGTTATTTAAACATGCCTTACAGAAGACCTGAAAAATACATAAATGCAATCAACAGCCTGGAATGGCATCATGCAATATGTAAAAAGCAAAACAAAACAAATCTGTCTCTAATAAAAGTAGCTTTATCTTGTAAAATGGATATACACAACTAGCTTCCCAAAACATTTCTAAGCAGCTGAAATGAGGGTAGAGTAATGAAGTGAAGACGCAGTTTAATCAATACTGAAAACATCTAAGGTAAGCCCTAGCAACTGAGGCTCTTGTTGCTTCTGCATTAGATTAACTGGGAAGCATGACATTTATATTTGGCCCATTGCTTCCAGTTTACATTCCTTATGTTTTTGTTTTTGTTTTGTTTTGTGTTTTTTTTTTTGGAGAGGTTTTTTTGCCATAGGGCGCGTGCGCTTGCCAGACAGAGACAGACAGAGAGACAGAAAGCGAGAAATCACCCCCCAGGGGGGATGGCCACGCCACAATCCCTTCTCCTCCATTTTCCTCTTGGGATCTTGGGCACGCACGCACACGTGCCTGGCGTGAGTTTTAAGCCACCGGGTCCGGGACGCAAACCGCGGTCGACTACGTGGGAGTCCAGCGACATAGTCATTACACTAACTGCTGGTCCCTACATTCCTTATGTTTAACAATATATTTTTCAGTTATGCATTTATCATACTCATAACATGCTGCCAATTCTAGTGGATCTGAAAAAGGATTTGAAATCTGGTTAAATATTATAAGAACAAAAATAAACATTAATTCCAACAGCATGCACAGCTGTTCATTATTCTGCGAAAACCATTAAAAACTATGTTAATATTATTCAAACTCAAAAAAAGACTACAAAGTTTGGCTGATATTCATATAAGAGAACATTTTCACAGATAAGTATTTTATGTTACAAAATATATTTTCACCAAACAGGAAGCAATTTTCAAAATACCTATATCTGAAGATGACCTCTAGAGGTAAATATGCGGTGTACAGATCTGCTCCTATCAGTTCGCTAAATTTTCACACTGGATTACAATGTGCTTAATAGGCAATTCATTAGGTTTCAACAGCCCTCAGATCTCATAATCTTACCCTTCACCGAGAGGGACTAACAATCTCAATCCAGGCAAAAGAGGGGGAAAAGGAAGAAAGAAGGGATATAAGGCAAAAAGAAAGGAGTAGGAAAGTGAAAGATAAATTGAGAGAGGTGGGAAAATGCCCGGACTTCTGAAAGTTAGTCCAAGTCTCTCTAAGTAGGACTGTGATCATCACTGGGCCATTTATACCCAAACTGGAAACGGAATCTCTAAAAGCTACTTTTTCCTTCACTACTTCATTAAGAAAGATAAGTATAATAAAATAAAGCCTTGGCAGCAGTCACTTCTTGGAAGAATGAGGTATGATTTTGGTTGGTGGTCAAAAAACTTTTTTTTTTTTTTTTTTTTTTTGAAAGGTTTTCTTTTTC